AAAAATAAAGTTTTGAGATTTAAATGCCAATCGATTGGAAATTTAAATACGAGCTCAACGAGGTATGACATTCCTAATTCTGGCTCCATTTCGCAATTTGACGACGAAAAAACTGATCTTTTTTGTGCAAAAATAGGGAGTAACATTTTTTGGTCGAAAAATACGTTTATTTTTAGCCGTTTTTCAGTCGTAATTTAGTCAAATTGAGGCGCACAACAAAAAGACCGACTGTTTTGAGCAGCTAACAACCTCGGCTAACGATTCCAATCACTTTTTGGGAAATTTATTTTTTGACCAATTTTCGCATTTTTTTAAGGGCTTGCATCATCTTTTTTTTCGAAAAATTTTCAAAAAATAAAGTTTTGAGATTTAAATGCCAATCGCTTGGAAATTTAAGTACGAGCTCAACGAGGTATGACATTCCTAATTCTGGCTCCATTTCGCAATTTGACGACGAAAAAACGGATCTTTTTTGTGCAAAAATAGGGAGTACAATTTTTTGGACGAAAAATACGTTTATTTTAAGCCGTTTTTCAGTCGTAATTTAGTCAAATTGAGGCGCACAACAAAAAGACCGACTGTTTTGAGCAGCTAACAACCTTGGCTAACGATTCCAATCACTTTTTGGGAAATTTATTTTTTGACCAATTTTCGCATTTTTTTAAGGGTTTGCATCATCTTTTTTTTCGGAAAATTTTCAAAAAATAAAGTTTTGAGATTTAAATGCCAATTGATTGGAAATTTAATTACGAGCTCAACGAGGTATGACATTCCCCATTCTGACCTTTTTTTTGCTTATTTGCAGACAAAACACTAACTCTTTGGGCAGTTTTGCCGAACCTGGGACTTTGCATGATCTCAAATCGAGACAAGTCAAGCTTTTCTTTCTGTGTAACAACTGCTGCCCGAGTCGCGACCAGAATCGCTGATGTTGTAATTGTTGCAACTGGCAACTGTCGCATGTGTTGCATGTTGCCGGTTGGCTGTTGCTGCTAGCCAGTTGTTGCCGTTACTTCAGCGGTTTTTATTACCCGATTTCATATGCGGATCTCGTCTTTGGCTGCCTGTGGGCCCCTCCTTCACAATATCTCTGTATTTGTATTTTTAGTTTTATTTTCGAGGGTATGCAGAAATCGGCTTAGGTTGGTTTGCCTTTATTTCTCTTTTTCCGCCAACCAGTTGGCACATGAGTCACGGGACTTGATCGATTGATCGACTGAGCCACGCTTGTCAATGTCTATGGCAATGTTAATGGACTTGTCAACGGCAGGAAAAGTGTCCAATGTGGCGAGAAAAGAGGGATAGAGAAATGCCTAAACTGGTTTATTTATTAGTTAATACAACCGAGTAGCAGTTAAATGTCAACGGGAATTCGAATTGCTTATTTTTCTGGCGCAGAAACTTCCTTGAATATCAATTCTGCACAAGTTCAACGATTTTTAAAATGGTTCGGCCAAATAAGGTTATATAGTGAAATCATGCTCCCCAACTGCATGTCCCCAAAATTTCGAATATGTTTTAAAAGGTAAAAGGTAATTTGTATATTGATTTTAAATACCAATTATCAGCAACACAATTTTTTAGATGTCTTTTTTTTAGCACCAAATTACTCCTTTATTTTGAAAATTGGTCAACTGGGTAACTGATGATTAAGTATGATGTGTAGATATTAAGTAAATGAAGTAGATTTTACTAACATTTACGTTTACTTACATTTTTACATTTGAGATCGTGAAACTTGGTACTACAAACATGATAAGGCAGTGCAGGTTTGTGTCCCAACTAAGCGTTAGTTCAATATGCAAACACACCTTTGTGAGAGGGCGCCACAATATCTTCCCGCTTTATTTTTGAAATCAAGTTACATTTATTTTATAGTTCTAGGCCCTGGTTTAGTGTTGTTAAGTCTTGAATTAAAAATACAAGTATTGGCTCTTTATGAATTTGTAGTCAGAAATGTCAACTACTTTTTATATTTTTATTTGTAAAAAAAGTTTAAAAGAATTAAATAAATGTAATATAAGAAAGGAAATAGATTTTTTTACGGAGCCCTGGTTTTTAAGTGCTGCTTAACAAATAAATTCAAATTTCAAAGTTTGGCGCTTGTTTGGATGAGTGTTGAGAAATTTGTCTCAAACAATTCCAGATTATCAAGTTTTCTTTAAAAAAAATTAGAAAAAAAAGTAATTCACTACTTTTTAATCTCTTTTTGCATCGATCATGATCAAGATACGATCTGTATTTGTTTAATTGAATGTTATCATTAGCAGGACTTTATCGCACGGCCTGTATTTGTTAATTTTATTGATCTGCTCTCATAAATTTCGGCCCACTTTGCTGTTAATCGATTGTATCTCTCTATCGCTATCATTAATTTCGCCGCAATTATTATTAATAATTCGCACTTTTTATTTTATTGCAATTGCGAAAAGGATTTTAGGTGAGCAGAGCGATTATGCCACACACATTCCAGTTGCATTTCCATTTCCAGTTTGATTTTCAATTTGCGTTCGATTTACACCCGATGGATTTCCTCCTTTGATTGCGAACTTCTCAACTCGATCCCCTCCCTTTTTTTACACAGTACAAAAATTGTAGCTTTATTGGTATATATATTTACTTTAGATTTGTCCATATTGGTCGGCAATTTAATATAGAATTTCAGGTTCCAGAGTTGTTGAGAATAGCATTGTTTTTTTTGCTCTTCAAACAATATTTTTTTAGGCACATCCTAAGCGATTTTCTCTCGGTGTGCCACCTAGTTTTGCATCTTATATCCAGGTTAGTGCCATAAATCTCGGGTCTTAGCACTCGGTACGTGTCCGTAGGGCAGACAAGATACAAATGGGTGTCTCGAGATACACGGATTCATGTCAACCCATTGGTCATGGCCCACGGGAAGACAATTGCGACGGGGCGTCAAAACTTGTCTGCGAAATCATAGCCAAAAGTCGAAAAAAACCCACAAAATCGGAGCCAGAAGAGAAAACTATCTTTTTAATGACAGGCCGAAAATGGCAAAAAATGGTGAAAGGGGCGGGGGGATATGGGGGAAATGCATTTGCTGCGCCTGGAGCAGGAAGTCGATGCTGCAGATCGACTCCGTCGCAAAATCCAGACTCAAACTCAGACATCGACATCGGCGACAACTGCGAAGAGTGCGTAATTGCTTTTTAAGCCTGATTTTTGAGGCACGCCCTGGTGGCCCCCCTCTTTTCAAAGAAAAAAGAAAAAGAAATGCCATACTATTAGCTCTAAAAGCTGAGCGCCAAAACTGTGAGATTACGGCGCCTTGGCGGAAGAGACGTTGCCTTGTCGTTGGCCAAGTAAGTATCCCAAAAAGATACACATTTCGATGTAGAGACCGCCCACATATGAAGCTAATGCCAGAGTGCAGGAAAAAAGGGAGGTTTTCTAAAGGAAAAACCAAGACAAATTCATAATAACTCTGTTGGAAATTCACTTAAAACAAGAAAGCATACCAATGAACTTTAGGGAATTTTTCAATCTATTTAATAATATTTTAAGTATGAGGTATAGATGATAGTAAACAAGTTAAGATCTTTAAAAAGGCTTTTTTATTTCTGATCATAAATGCTTTGTACGTAACCTCTTATGTTCAGTTTAAATAATACTTGCATTTTCTTAAAGAACTGCATAATAATTACCAATTAAAACCTGACCAAACTAGTCCAAGTTCGATAGCGATAGGATGTGGAATATGGAGTGTGAAATCAGCGTGAAAACTAAGCGCTACGGGGAATAAAAAATCCGATTTCGCGACCTCATCGTTAAGATGATCGGCGATAAGACCCATTGGTTCAGGCACTTGATGGCACATCTGGCCACATCGATTAATTAACCAACTCCAGCTCGTTATGGCCATCGATTTGAGCGATGTTCGAGCATTATCTTATGCAAAAGTTTCGCAGGCCTGTTAACTTGTCCCTTTTGGCGTGTGTTTTCTTTCCATTGCGTGTTTGTTTAAACACTAATGTCAAGACTAATAACGCTTAGGGCCGATTATGGGTTTCAGGGCAGAAGATTGATCAGCGATTGAAGAAAGGTTCGGGGCGGGGAGGAGGCCAATTAATAACCATGCCCTCGCGAGTGGCGAAAGACTAGGGAATTTTGGTAATTACCATTGGGCAATGTTTTTAAAATTTAGGCAGTTTAGGAGATTACAAATAGATGGGGAGAAATTTTTACTAAAAATAAGTGAGGCCCTCAAGGTGAAAAACCTTAGGACTGGATTAAACGAAGATGGTGATTGATGACCCCGATTACTATTTCAGCTTAGCAGGTGTGAACCAGAACTGAGCTTCCCAACCAACAAAATTTGTATTTAAAAGAGATCACACCTTTTAAAGTTAGTGTTATAATGAACATAACGAAATTAAAATGCTATTATTTCACTTTGACGTTGGTAATTTTTCTAACTTTCCTAATAACTCGTTGTTTATATTAATAAAACCACTTTAAATGTTCAGAAAGTGTATCTAAAATATTTTCGATGGTATTTATGGTATGCGATGCAGGAAAAAGAAATATTTTTAAAGAAATGTATAAGCTGAGTAGTGCAATGTCCAATGGACCATGCATCTTACTGTCCCTATCTACTGACTTATCTCCTTGAAAGCGACCATTTTCGTACCGCCCCACGTGGTGACCCCTTGAAAGCGCCGCCGTGGCAGCGCGGCCATTGAGAAGCGGTAGCCGCTAGCGGCAGCCAAAACAGTTGTACAACATTTACCGGTTTGTGGGGCACGCAGTTTGGCTGGCAAAAAAACAAAGTACATACAAGCCCAACAGCTGATCGAAAGCGATCTCTTTGGAGTTGGAGTTCCATTCATATTCATGAAAGCCAGCGGTCGAGAGAGAATCGATACCGCTTGCTCTCTTTGACTCACTTCTCTCTCTCTGCTCGCTCTCTTTGGGCTGCAATGCGCTGGCTTAAAAGTTTACGACTGCGCAGGCGCGCCGCTCAGACCGTTGATGGCGTTCGCAGCGACCGCTTGGCACACGTCGCGTTTTTAGCCGCCAGCGCGTTTTAAACCGCCAACCGCCAAAGTGCGTTTTTTAACCCCTGTAAGCCCCTCCTAAACGAATGTGTTTTGCGTTTGCCTCCATCTAGGAAGTGTTTAATGGCTTAACTTCTACACCATACCATATTGAATATATTCAAGAGAAACAAATAATACGCTTCATCGCCTTTATATTCATTTGAGTTTTCACTTTACCTACTTTTTTTTAACGCTTTTTGTTCAAGTGCTCAAAGTTTTGATGGCGCGCCATTTCCGCATTTAGGAAAAAAAGTGCTTGAAATAATTACTACTCGAAACTCTAACGAAATGCAAATTAATTACAAATAATCGAATGAAATAAGTTTGTTTTTTTGGATTTTGTGTGTGTGTGCATTGTGGTTCCGCGCTAATAGTTTCCTGCATAACAACAACAACAGCAGCGGCAGCACCAGCAGCGATTACAATAATAATAATGAAAACAACAACTTTTGACCAAACTGGCCAAATAAAATTGTTGCGAAAGTGTTTCTTTTTTGTTTAGTTTTTTTTTGTATTTTTGTATTTTGCGTTGCATGTGGCAGCAAAGGCAAAAGCAGCTGCTGCAAGTCAAGTTAACTTGTTGCCGTTGCTGCTACCTAACAAAATAAATTTTATTTTTATGACTTTTATGCGAAGCCGATAAGATGACAGCCATAACAACAATAACACTAGGCTGCAGCAGCGGCAGCCAAAAAAAAAACAACTTTGGCTGCAACTGCAACACAATAGCCACAAGTTGGTAATAATATTTGGGAGGCAAATCGAAGCTGGGTTGCTCTTTAAATTGGAAGATATACCCCATAAAAGGATATATCATCATTTGTTTTTCGTACTATGAAAATGAAATATCTTAAATGCAATGTATATACAAATGTAATTGGCGGACACAAATATCTCTAAAGGACAATGTAAAATGTATTTAAAATTTTAAATTAATGTACATACTCAAACTGAATTCCTTTAAATATTTAATATAATATTTTTATTTAATTGAATATTTCAATTTTAAAACGTTCTCTTCTTAACTTGGACATTCTAAATACTCGTAGATAAGCCTGGAGACCAAAGGATTTTCCTAAGCACTTTTTTCTATACATTTATCAAACTAATAACTTAAAAATTGTGAGTTCCCAATCCATGTACCTTTCCTGATTTATTAGAGTATTTTCTACAGCCAAGTTGGAGTGCGTGACCCCCAGCTCACATGGGCACCAAAAACTCTGCCTCTGTATGGGTTATTATATCTGTGTATCTGTGTACCTTTGTATCTGTATCTTTGTGGCCAGACTTGCTCTTGGACCAAAGAAAAAAAACAAAAGAAAAACCAACTTTTGAGCCTGATCCCAGTTAAATCCACTTGAATGCCCGAAAGTGAAATTTCACTTTGCAGTTGTCGTTGCTGTGTTTGTTGTTTTGCAGCTGCCTTTTTTAATTCATTTCGAACAATTGTCATTACGGGGCGGTATAAAAATCCCACAAAAAAGAAGTGATTTCTTAATAATTTATTAGAATTTTACCAAACGCACAGAAGAGACCAAAAAGCCAAGGCAAAAACATATAAAGATGGCAGCGAGCAAAATTAGCAGCAAAATCTGCAGGAGCAGCAGACCAAAATCATCAACTTCATCATCACCAACTTCAACATCGGAAAAACCAGCAGATACAACGAGCCAAATCAACAGAGGATTAACACTAAATCACTTAGTGATCTGCGGTTGCCTGGCAATAATCTCCATGGCATCTGTAACCATGGCCAAACCACCGGATCAGGAAGCTATCCATCACAAAAATGGTAAGTTTCAAACACTATGTGTATCTCACTGTGTCTGTGACTTAATTAGCTGGCTGTGAAAGTGAAACTGAAGCTGAAACTCTTTCGCTGCCCCGAGAATTATGGGGCTTAAAGTCATCAACATCCACCGGCGGCCAATGGCCAAAGACTCTCGACTTGGGATCAAGTTGAGCAGCTGCTGATGGCTTTGATTTGTGGCGGCGGCGCTTTCACTTTGCCAGCCTTTGTTTTGGTTTTCGTCGACGTAAAGATATAACATGCGGGATAATACTAAAATTTAGTTTTATTTGAAAACATATAGATACTTGTCTTTGGGAAGGTTTTTCAAGAGAACTTTTTTTTGAGTTTTTTTGATTTCTTTTAAAAACATACACCTGAGAACCTTTAAAGATCTCGAAAGTTAATTTCATAATTTTTAACTTTATCTAATAATTTTATTAAAGGCAGATTTGGCTTGCATAAGGGGTCAATATTTTTGTAAACCATCTCAAGTTATGATTTTTTGAAGGTTATTTCTATCAGCAGAGTTGAAAATCACACATGTGGCTTACTTCGCTAAAAGCGATTACAAAATTTGTCATTGGTTTGGTTTCAGTTCAATTAAAATGTGAAAAATCGCAGCTAGAGTTGCTAATTTGTCGGCAACAGTTGAGTAAGCCATATAAAACAAAAGGGCGAAAAGAAAGTCAAACAAATTAATCAGCAGAAACGAAGATGTAAAAAAAACCATATAAAAAGGTGGTCTGGAACTCTGGGACTGGGGATATGATACCACCGAAAAAAAAACAATGCCAAAGACATTTTCCCAGACATCTCGCGCTGCTCTTACGACATCTTCGGCAATTACTGGAAGAGTTGTAACTCTGTAGACTGGAGATTGAAGATCGGGAAACGAGGGGGAAAAAGGGGTATGGGGACAAGAGACCCACAGACCGCATTTTCCACTTGCTTCCGTATGCTGGGATAATTTTCCTTTGTTGTATGGCAAGACAACTCCATCTGGCCGTTCATCTGCCTTTTCCCAACCACTTTTCCCCCCAGTCTCTCTCTGTGTGTCATTATGTCATTGCAGCCTGTACCATTTACCAATTACCATGCACCTTTTCCCTCCACTCGACGCTAAAAACATTTCCCCTGTGACATTTTCCTGGCCACAAAACAATACAAAAAAAATAATAATAGAAGGGCCACAAAAAACCTGGTACTTGTGGAAAATTTCAAAATATTTTCAAACTGTTTTGATAAGATCTGATGTCAAAAATATAAACAAAAGCATTTGTTTAAATCGTTAAACAATACCATATACAAAAACTACATATTTACACTGGCTTCTCAAGATTTATAGAACCTGAAAGCACTTAAATATTGTTTTTTCAAATTTAATAATATTGTATCCATTTAAAAATGTACTTTTGACGAACAATAATGATTTTAATATTGCTTTATAATTCATGTAAACTTCAATAACATGCCTCATTACATTTTGTTTCCATTACTTGACTAGTATTTATGCAAATGCAAGTAATTTCAGAACACTTGAGGTCGGTGATAAATGTTTATCTTAATTTGTTTTTTATTTATAGCTTGTAGCACACAAATTAATTATGCAAATTCAAGTACAGCTTCAATATTCTTTATTCAATATCTTGAAATACCCCAAACAAAGATTTGAAGCAATCTTCATTATTGTTTCGAATGCTTGAAAAAATCTTTTTTGGCTGCAGATGTGTCTTAATATTTAGCAACTCATTGGGCCAAAGTCAAAAACCACAGATTGCATCACGACCGCAGTTACAGCTACCTTGTGACAATTTCCCAGGCCACGGGTATGGTTATATGGCTTATGGCTTGTCAAAGAGATATATACATATATATAAGATCTGAACAATCTGCGCACTGATGATGACGCCCCCAATTTGGGCCACAGATCTCAACTCTCAACCATATAATGATCACATTGGATCCGAGATTCGAGATCCCAGAAAACGAGGCGGCAAAATGCAAGCGGAGCGTACAACAATTGCCATTCATTTGCACAATGAATGAAATTTAATGAGCGCACCTCGCATAATACAAATAATAAGTACGCGAAATAATAAGTGAAAAGACCTCTCGAAATAGCCAAAAAATGGAGGAAAATACATGCTCAAAAAATTAAAAATAAAACAAGGAAGAACGCTATAGTCGAGTACCTCGACTATCAGATACCCGTTACTCAGCTATATGGAGATATGCAAGCAGCAAAGCGAGATTAAAATGCGCCACCTACCGGCGGTATACAGATTTAAGCGTTATGGGCGTTAGAGTGGGCGTGGCAAATTTTTTTTTGGATCAATCGATAGGTATCGACGAGACCAATACATTTCAGTTAAAATTTTTTATCTAGCATGAAAATTGTGGGCGTCACAGGTTTTCGCGGTTTGTGGGCGTTAAAGTGGGCGTGGCAAACTTTTTTTTGGGTCAATCGATAGGTATTGATGAGAACAATACATTTCAGTTAAAATTTTTATTCTAGCATCAAAACTGTAGGAGCCACAGTTTTGGGCGGTTTGTGGGCGTTAGAGTGGGCGTGGCACTGTGCTGAAACAAACTTGCGCTGCGCAGGAATCTCAGGAATCTGCGTGCCTAATCCCAGTATTGTAACTCTCATAGTTTCCGAGATCTCAGCGTTCATACGGACAGACGGACAGACGGACAGACGGACAGACGGACAGACGGACAGACGGACAGACGGACAGACGGACATGGCTAGATCGACTCGGCTAGTGGTCCTGATCAAGAATATATATACTTTGTGGGGTCGGAAACGCTTCCTTCTGCCTGTTACATACTTTCCGACGAATCTAGTATACCCTTTTACTCTACGAGTAACGGGTATAATGAGCCGAAACGGACAAACGAATCTTGGCCATAACGTAATAACCAGGGGTAGAAAAGAGCAGACAATCGAAAAGCTAGCACTAAGGCATAAAATCGATGTGGCATGCAACATTATCTGGTACACAGGAAAATATTTATATATCTTTGTTTTATGATTTGGGTTTAGTCTAGATGTAAAATAAAAAAAAGATCCGTTAAAGCACAACAAAAATAGAAAGAATCTTAAAAATGTATAAAAATACTTAAAGCATCTAGTTAAATATTATATTAAACTTTTTCCCCGTGTAGCCGTAGCCTTTCATGATGTGTGTACCAAATTCGATTTATTATTTGTACAATTTACGAGCATCGATCGCCGAGGGAGACAGAAATCAGGAGATCTGGTCACGTCAACTACCCAATCCCAATTTTGTATCTCTATCTCCATCTTCGCCTTCTTCTTTTTCATTTTCATTTTCTGGGGCTACTGAATTTGCTACCACATGGGTTTTAGGCTTCTTGTATTTTCATTTTAGCCGGGCCGTGGGCGTTGTTGTGGGCGTTTGTGGTTGTTTTTGCGGTTGACAGAAGATCGGAGGGGATATCGGGGTTTTTACGGCCCAATTTGATCAATTGAAATTGGAAAATTGATTGAGGTGTTATTTCTTACTGGAGATTGCAGGGAAAATAGAGCAGACTGATTGCTGTGTGAAACTTGTGTGGTAAACAGAAATAATGAATTGGAAGCATTATTAAAAATCAATGTAAATTCTTCTTGTTGTTGTTTATATTAATAGCTGTTATAAAATATTATTTTATATTTTTTAAGATATGACTGATTTCAGATCTAAAAACACTAAGCCTGTGCAAGCAATCACGAAAAACATTAAAGGCCTAGACGATTTCAAGACAGATCATAAACAAGATTTTTCTTATAAGCGAAGTAATTTTGACCTCCAGGTTCAAAAGTTTTGGTTCTTAATTAACTGCTTACTTTAATAAGACTTAGAAAAAATATTATTTTAATATTGGAATACCATTCGACCTTTTTGGGTGTTGCTTTATTTTTAAATCATTCTAATTTTTAAAAAATTTTTACGTGATTCCCCTAAGCTTGCGGTTTTCTTGATCGATTTGTGTGCCTTAATTTTGGGTGTGCAATTTGGGGATTTTCATTTCTGCCCATTTACCATGAAGGCGTTTCTTCGCCTTCTGCCAGCAATTAACATTTCGAACTTTGGCCAAATGCCGCCTGCAAAGTATAAGTACATAAAAATTGGAACAAAGCCCCAATTCGTTTAGCTTTAGTTTCGATGCTGTTTGTTTTTTTCTGCTGTTGTTATTGTCTTTGTTAATGCCGTGCATTGTGTTTAGAGGCTGTTAAATTTAAATGGTGAGTCTTAACCTTTAAAAATTAAATTCGGCGAACTGTTTGAATGGGAACCGCTAGACTGAGTGTAATTACACACTTTTTCGGGGCACTGTGTTTGCGTTTCGTTATTGGGCAATATGAGAAATCGCAATCACAATATCGCAATCGCAATCGAAATTGAAATCAAATTCAGAGGCAAGATCTTGAATAAAGGCTAAAAGAAATGCCGCCACATCAATCAATTTGGGAAAACAAATGGTGTCGCCAAACGGTAGCGACAACCCAAAAAATGCGAATCAAGCAATTTAAACTGATCGTAGATCGTAGATCATTGAGTTATGCAAATGGGGCTATCGATAACACACACTCGATGATTCGTTTACATAATCCACGGATTGAATGGGAGGTGGGTGCATAATTAGCCCGGCTCATTAATATTTTTGCTCTACATTGGGCGAAAGTGGCAGCGCAAATTAATCAAAATCAACACATCGAACCGCAAAGTGCGGCACATTTGATATCACGCTTGCCTTTTGTTTTGCATATTTCTTAAATCGATTTTATTTGCAACATAAAAAAGCTAATGAAAATGTGCGACACGCTGGGCAGGAGGTTTTTACACAAATCCCATGGATAGATACACTTTGCCTTTGGTTTTTTGCTTGCCAGATTACAAGATATTTTAATAGGTTTTTTTATGGCCTCTGAAAAATGTTCTAACTTGAAAGCACAGAAATTAAACTAGATTTTGCAACTATAAAGTTAGAGC